GTGATCTTTGAGAAGAGACTTGAATTTATAAACAGGTAGTGTTTCTTTTATATTTACAGGTAATGAATTCCAGATTTTAGGGCCTTTTATGTGCATTGAGTTTTTGCATAGTGTGAGATGGACACGAGGAACATCAAAGAGTGATCTATGCCTTGTGTTATGGTCATGTGTTCTGTTGAGGTTGACAAGGAGATGTTTGAGGGGAGGGTTAATATCAGAGTTAAGTGTTCTATGTATGTAATAGGTGCAGTAATAAGTATGGATGTTTTGTATGGTGAGTAGGTTTAGTGTATTGAATATTGGTGGAGTGTGCTGCCTGTAGTGAGAATTTGTTATCATTCTAACTGCAGCCTTTTGTTGGTAATTAGTGGTCTGAGATGGTTAATTGTTGTTGAGCCCCATGCACAAATTCCATAGGTGAGATAGGGGTAAGTAAGAGAGTGATATAGGGCCAGGAGGGCTGACTGTGGAGCATAGTACCTTTATCTTCGATAGTATGCCTACAGTCTTGGAAATTTTTTTAGAAATTTGTTGTATATGTGTATGAAAATTTGAGTCTATTATCAAGGTGGATTCCTAAGAATTTTCCCTCTGTTAGCTTTGTGATAGGTGATCCGTTTATCATTATGTTAAGAGGGACATCTGTAGCTCTGTTACCAAACTGAATGAAGTAGGTTTTGTCAATGTTTAGTGTAAGTTTGTTAGTCCTCATCCAGGTAGATATTTTCTGTAATTCGGTATTTACAGTATTGGCTAGCGTGACTGGACTCGGGTGGGAGAAGACGTATGTAGTGTCATCTGCAAATAGTGTGGGTTTGAGTAATTGCGAAGCATTTGGTAGGTCATTTATGTATAGGAGAAAGAGAAGAGGGCCAAGGACACTTCCCTGTGGGACACCAACTGTAATTGCTTGTGCAGAAGAGTTTGCCCCATTTGCGTACACATATTGGCTTCTGTTGCTGAGGTATGACTTGAGGTAGTTGAGGGAGTGCCCTCTTATACCATAGTGTGACAATTTTACGTGGAGCAAGTCACGGTCAACTGTATCAAAAGCTTTACGTAAGTCAGTGAAGATCCCCAGTGGGACTTCTTTTTTCTCTATTGCAGTGTATATATGTTCTAGCATGTGTATAATAGCATTAGTATTTTTATTAGGCCTGAATCCAAATTGGCAGGGGTTGAGTATGTTTTGGGAGATAAGGTAGGAGTAGATTCGTTTATGAATTAATTTTTCGAAGATTTTTGAGAGAGGGTGTAAGTTGGATATTGGCCTATAGTTATTCAACTCTGTTTGGTCTCCTCCTTTGTGGATCGGGGTGACCCTTGCTATTTTGAGTACTGTAGGGAAGGTGGAGGATTCAATGGATTTGTTAAAGGGTGTTGCAATGATTGGTGATAGCACTTGTGACACTTTTTTGTATATAAAGGGTGGTAAGGTATTTAAATCTCCTGCCTTTGTTTTTTTAGAGCGTTAATAATAAGGGAGACTTCGTATGGGTTAGTCGGAGTAGGAACAGTGTGTTCGGGTAGTTGCCGGTGAGGTAGTCATTGGTGGGGATCTGAGCTTGGGATTTTATTGGCAAGGTTTTGTCCTATAGTGGAGAAGAAATCATTGAGTCTGTTTGCTGTTTCTGTTGGTGGGAGTTGGGGTTCATCTGATTTTGCAATTTTTATTTCGCTATTTCGTGATATCTTTTTTGTTCCCAGAATTTCTGATAGGGTTTTCCAGGTCTTTTTTATATCACCTCGTAAGTTGGATAATCTGTTCTCATAATACAATTTTTTTGCCCTTCTTATCAGGCTGGTTAGGACTGACGAGTAACGTTTTGTTTGGTCTCTGGTTATGTGACCCATTCTGTACTGTTTTTCATATTGGTGTTTTGTATTTATGGATTTGAGAATGGTGGGTGTTAGCCAGGGACTGTTGTGAAGTTATTAATGGCTGCCTCATTGTGAAGTCTGAAGGTGACTTTAGTAGTGTCTTGGGGTAGTTTACCAAGAGTTGTTATGAGGAAAGTAGGGTAGTGGTCTGTGGTATTATCTGTAATTATGCCTGATTTTAAAGGGGATATGGTGTTGGTCCAGATGTGGTCAAGTAGGGAAACACTAGTCTCTGTAACTCTTGTAGGTTTTGTTACTGTTGGCAGCAACATACAGTTACTCATTGTGTTTGTAATTCAGTAACGTGTGGGTCCTGGTCTTGCAGGAGATTTATATTGAAGTCACCTGAGAGTAGTAAGTGATCTTCGTTCTTTGCGTGCATCAGTTATCATACTTCCTAGGTTTTGACAAATTTGGGCTAATGCTTGACTGTGGAACTCTGTAGATGTTTATCAATGTGAGAGGTTTTGTAGGTATTTGGATTTGAATTTAGCTATTATATATTCCCCATGTTCATCCCTTGTGCAAGTATTAGTGATACATTCTAGTTGGTCTGAGTAGTATATGGCTGTGCCACCCCTTGTTGGTCTGGCCTACAGTTGTGTATGGCTGTGTAACCAGGAATGGCATAGACATCTGTACTATCAGGCTTTAGCCAGGTTTCAGTTAGTGTAATGATGGACATATTGGCATGTAAGGAATTTAGTAATGCTATGAGGTCATCGTAATGCTTGCTTAAAGATCTGATATTGTAATTAAAGATAGTTATGTTGTTGTTGGCACTGAGAAGTGCCTTTGATTGTTCTGCAGTGTAGTAATTACAGTAACTGTTTGATTCATTTAAGTCATTAAATAAGAGGTTGGTATCAGGATCAAATGCTTGTAATCATAAGATTTGTAGTGAATCTATAGTTAGAATTAAGTATAAAACAAAGTAAATAGTCTTTAGCTAAAAAATAGCACCTGAATTATTTAACAAATGTAAAATAATGAGCTAAGGTAGTTTTTTTTTTTTTAAGCTAAAATAAAGGAGACAATATAAAAGGGACTAATACAAATGCTAAAATAAAGGAGACAATATAAAAGGGACTAATACAAATGAAGTGATGATCAAATAATGGAGCTTGGGAATATGATAGTAGGTAGTACTATAAAGGTAATTCTTTAAAGTTAGAATTATAGTATAAAATTATAATATAAAAGGGACTAATATAAGTTGTGGTGAACAATAAAGTGGTAATCAAATAAATGAGCTTTGGAATATAATGGCAAAATTGTGAACTTATTCTACTTTAGCACCTGAGAATAGCACCTTGATTATTTTAACAATTGTGAATATATAAACTAGGGTAGTTATATAAAGCTAAAATAAAGGAGAAAATATATAAGGGACTAAAAATTAAGTAATGGTAAACAAAGTTAAATGGACAGATGGTCACTATGAAATAATATTGGTTTAGGAGTAAGATCTGATTTGTAATATTAAATAAACTGAGCAGTTTATTGCACAATAAAAAGTAAAAAAAAAAATGAGGTAGTTGGTACTAGCTAGCAAAAGATAGTTTTGGTACTTGCAAAAAAGTAATTGGAATATATACTAATTGCATACACAATGAAAAGTGACTAAAAAACAAGTAGTGATAAAATTAAATGGACAGGTAAGAATAATGAATATTATTAATTTGGAGTAAGATTTGACTTGTAATTTAAAATTATGAGCAATTAATAGCAGTAAGAAAGAAGTATAGAGTATTGGAGGTAGTTGGCATTAGCTAGTGATGAAAAATAATAAAAATAATAATGCAAGGTACACTATATGCACCACACGTATATATGTATTAAGGGCACTTATCTAATCTGTTACAGAAATGTCAGCTTTTCTAAGGAAGGTAGAGAAATCATGTTCGTTTGAGATGGTATATTGTTGTCCTGTTGATGTTTTCCTTACTAGTATTTTCCCATCTCGCGTGAAACACTGATGTATTTTGTTTTCCTGTTTAAGTTTTCTCAGCCTGAACAGAAGGTTTTGACGTTTTTTTGTTAGACACTCATTTATGTACACTCCATTTTTCATTGTAATTGCTGATTTAATTAGGTCCTTTCTTTTATCGTATGAATGAAGTCGGATCATTATACTGTGTTTACTTCCTGGTTTTCCTAACAAACGTGTTTCTTTGATTTCATTGTTTTGCACGATGACTTGTACGTGGTCCTGTATTATCCTGATGGCAGTTTCTTTGCACTGTGCTTGTGTTATGTCACTAGGAATGTGTGGACCGTTTATTATTACTGCATCAGACAACTTATCTTGTTCAGTTTTGTCGTCTTGGAAATCAAGGTATTCATTTAGTCGAGTGTGCATGTTCTGATTCCAGTCCTTGATTGCTTCTTCAACCTTCATATTTATTGTTGTTATTTGCTCAGCGTGACTGGCTATAGCTGCTTTTAGAGTATTTTCTGTGTCAACACTTCCCGATGTAATCTTCTCTTCAAGGTTTTGGATCTTGTTCTCGAGGTTGGTTATCTTGGATTCTCGTCGCTCGAGTGTTGCTTTGATATCTTTGATTTCATTTTCTAGAGCAACGATGTAGTCCTTGATATTGTCAGGAATGATCATACCTGAGTTATCATGGGTGAATCCTTTGAAGGGAGTGGAGTTGGAGGGGGAGTCAGCCATGTTTGTTGTTGTTGTTGTTGTTGTTCCTTGGGTGGCGGTGGTGAGGGGGGTTGATGATACACCAGCGTCCTGCTGGGTAGACAAGTTGAGTTCTAGGGTCCTTGCTGTTATTCTATTATTACTGGTGTTGTTTCTTCTGCGATATCCTTTCATAGTATCACTGAAGTAGATACTGTGTAGCAATGGAGGAGAAGGCTTGTTTTCTCGGAGCTTGGGTTAAGTGATTGTCTGGCAGCGGAGGCAGTGTTTGGGTTAGCAGGGCTGTCTTCCTTAGATCTTCTAATTTTGTCAAGATTTGGGTTACATTCTTAGTATTCTTGGGTCATGTTGTGGTCTACGTGGGTTCATGTAGTTGATCTTTCACTTAGGCCATCACAAGTTTTGATGAGCGATGTTTTTTTTGAGAAAGAAGAGCTGGTAGGATACCGTTGCTGCCGCTGCCGTTGCCGTACATGTACATGTAGTAAATAAAGGTATTATTATATATCTTGTTTCTCCCTCTGGTAGACCTGGTGACGATGGCTGCTGGTGCCTGGGAAAGGAGGCAGGTGTCGCCAGACTACTTCGTGTTGACGCCACCAGCCTACACACTCTTCATAGGCTCAGGACTGGTGCTGATGGCCGTGAGTGACGATACTTTGGTAAACTAAACGAAATATAAATTTTGTCAGATGGATAACTGTCACACCCTGCGTCATTATGTACTGGAATGCTATAAAATTAATGAATTTAGAGGCAACTCACTCAGAAATGTTCAAGATATATTGTCCACAAGATATATTTATCCACAGTGGTATATTTCCAACATTTTTGGTAAAATACCCTGACTTTACCCACTGTAAATAATGCATTATCACATGTGTATGTGTGTATGTGTGTGTGTGTGTATGTACTCACCTAATATTGAGGTACAGTCCCTGGACCCATTATGTACCTCTGTAATGTTGAGATACAGTCCCTGGACCCATTATGTACCTCTGTAATGTTAAGGTACAGTCCCTGGACCCATTATGTACCTCTGTAATGTTGAGATACAGTCCCTGGACCCATTATATACCTCTGTAATGTTGAGATACAGTCCCTGGACCCATTATGTACCTCTGTAATGTTGAGGTACAGTCTTCGGGCCCATTATGTACCTCTGTAATGTTGAGATACAGTCCCTGGACCCATTATGTACCTCTGTAATGTTGTGATACAGTCCCTGGACCCATTATGTACCTCTGTAATGTTGAGATACAGTCCCTGGACCCATTATGTACCTCTGTAATGTAGAGATACAGTCCCTGGACCCATTATATACCTCCGTAATGTTGAGATACAGCCCCTGGACGCATTATGTACCTCTGTAATGTTGAGGTACAGTCCCTGGACCCATTATATATCTCTGTAATGTTGAGGTACAGTCCCTGGACCCATTATGTGCCTCTGTAATGTTGAGATACAGTCCCTGGACCCATTATGTACCTCTAATGTTGAGGTACAGTCCCTGAACCCATTATTTAACTCTGTAATGTTAAGGTACAGTCACTGGACCCATTATGTACCTCTAATGTTGAGGTACAGTCCCTGGACCCATTATGTACCTCTGTAATGTTGAGGTACAGTCCCTGGACCCATTATGTGCCTCTGTAATGTTGAGATACAGTCTCTGGACCCATTATGTACCTCTAATGTTAAGGTACAGTCCCTGGACCCATTACGTACCTCTGTAATGTTGAGATACAGTTCCTGGACCCATTATGTACCTCTGTATTGTTGAGATACAGTCCCTGGACCCATTATGTACCTCTGTAATGTTGCGATACAGTCCCTGGACCCATTATATATCTCTGTAATGTTGAGATACAGTCCCTGGACCCATAATGTACCTCTGTAATGTTGAGATACAGTCCCTGGACCCATTATTTACCTCTGTAATGTTAAGGTACAGTCCCTGGACCCATTACGTACCTCTGTAATGTTGAGATACAGTCACTGGGCCCATTATGTACCTCTGTAATGTTAAGGTACAGTCCCTGGACCCATTGTGTACCTCTGTAATGTTAAGGTACCGTCCCTGGACCCATTATGTGCCTCTGTAATGTTAAGGTACCGTCCCTGGACCCATTATGTACCTATAACCATCTTACTACCTCCCACACCATGGGTCTGGGCTGCATAATAAAGATATTACCCTAACATAACCTACATTACATATTTATACCATTACAGCGTCGTGTGTTGTGTTACTTCAGTCCCGGCCATACACACACACACACACACACACACACACACACACACACACACACACACACACACACATATTTAAGAAAGGAAACAGAAACGAGGCACTAAACTACAGACCTGTGTTTCTGACATGTATTGTGTGCAAAGTCATGGAGAAGATTATCAGGAGGAGAGTGGTCGAACACCTGGAAAGGATCAAGATTATAAATGAAAACCAGCATGGGTTCATGGAAGGCAAATCTTGTATCACAAACCTCCTGGAGTTCTATGACAAGGTAACAGAAGTAAGACACGAGAGAGAGGGGTGGGTAGATTGCGTTTTTCTAGACTGCAGGAAGGCCTTTGACACAGTTCCCCACAAGAGATTAGTGCAGAAGCTGGAGGATCAGGCGCATGTAAAAGGGAGGGCACTGCAATGGATAAGGGAATACCTGACAGGAAGGCAGCAACGAGTCATGGTACGTGAAGAGGTATCACAGTGAGCACCTGTTACGAGCGGGGTCCCACAGGGGTCAGTTCTAGGACCAGTGCCATTTTTGATATATGTGAACGACATGATGGAAGGAATAGACTCTGAAGTGTCCCTGTTCGCAGATGACGTGAAGTTGATAGAAATTAAATCGGACGAGGATGAAGCAGGACTGCAAAACAGACCTGGACAGGCTGGACATGTGGTCCAGTAACTGGCTTCTCGAATTCAATCCAGCCAAATGCAAAGTCATGAAGATTGGGGAGGGGCAAATAAGACCGCAGACAGAGTATAGGCTAGGTGGACAAAGACTACAGACCTCACTCAGGGAGAAAGACTTTGGGGTGACCATAACACCGAGCACATCACCGGAGGCACACATCAACCAAATAACGGCTGCAGCATACGGGCGCCTGGCAAACCTGAGAATAGCGTTCCGATACCTTAATAAGGAATCGTTCAAGACACTGTACACTGTGTATGTTAGGCCCATACTGGAGTATGCAGCACCAGTCTGGAACCCACACCTGGTCAAGCACGTCAAGAAGTTAGAGAAAGTACAAAGGTTTGCAACAAGGCTAGTCCCAGAGCTCAAGGGAATGTCGTACGAGGAAAGGTTAAGGGAAATCGGACTGACTACACTGGAGGACAGAAGGGTCAGGGGAGACATGATAACGACTTACAAGATACTGCGGAGAATAGACAAGGTGGACAGAGATAGGATGTTCCAGAGAGGGGACACAGGGACAGGGGTCACAACTGGAAGCTGAAGACTCAGACGAGTCACAGGGACGTTAGGAAGTATTTCTTCAGTCATAGAGTTGTCAGCAAATGAATAGCCTAGCAAGTGAAGTAGTGGAGGCAGGAAACCATACATAGTTTTAAGAAAAGTTATGACAAAGCTCAGGAAGCAGAGAGAGATAGGACCCAGTAGCAATCAGTGAAGAGGCGGGGCCAGGAGCTGAGTCTTGACCCCTGCAACCACAATTAGGTGAGTACAATTAGGTGAGTACACACACACACACAGGAGGGGAGGAGAAAACTGGGAAGGAGACTAGATGAGCTGGAAAGGAAGATGGAAGAGAGGTTAGCAGCAGAATGCAGAAGGTGGAAGCAACAGGCCACCGCAGCAGAAATCAAGGTAGAGAGATTAGAAGAGGAGCTGAGACATCTGAAACAGCACAGAGACAAAGATATTACAGAAGTAGCATCGGCAATGGCTACACCAAACACAGAAAAAACGGTCTGAAGGAAGCAGGAAAACAAAAAACTGTATGCAGAGGTCCTGTCAAACCCCACATCTGGCCAAAACAAAGACAGGGAGCACACTAGGACAGAATGAGGGTTGGAAGACTTTGAAGGAACTGGACTGGCAAGGCCCTTACCAGAACTTGGGGGCCAGGAGCGGTGGGGGGAAGGAAAAAACCCAAGAAGCTGGGGGCCAAAAACTAGGGAAGGGACTGAAGGAAGGAAACCTCCAGGGGAAAGGAAAATAAAACCATCAGAGGATGAAGGGAGTACAGTGGGAGGTGGAAAGGGAAAATCCGTGTTTGTTTTGGGTAGACGAAGCAAAAGGGGGAACGTTGAGGGAAAGAAAGCAGGAGGAAAAAAAACGATGAAGATTCTGAAGGTGATAGGCGAAGGGGAAATGACGAGGGGGAAAATTTTTGGAGAATTGGGTGAAAGGGAATCGGCCCCTTTAAAGTAATTTTCAAGGCAGAATCAACCCCAACCATGATCCTGAGGAGAAAGCCGGCTGAGAGACAAAAAGGAGTTCCGGGGTGTGTACCCCGATCGGGGACGAAAACAGGACGAAAAGGGAAAACAATGAAAGAGAGAGTTTTAAAAACGAAAAAGGGGAAAAGGGGGGAAATGAAAAAAAGGAGAGCAGAATAATCCAGGATCAAAAGGAAGGACAAGCGCACCCCCCGAAACAACCCGAAAAGGACTCAGCCACGACACCCCCCGGCAATGAACAAACCCAAAAAAACATCACACACCCATCCCCCTTTTTTCCCCCCCGCACCACAGTTTCAGTATTAGAACAGAAAGTTGAAGGTTTGGGACACAAAAAGCAGATGGATTAACGAATAAAAATGAGGAATGCAAGAAAGAAACAATGAGAATCCCCCACATATAGCAGTTAAAAAACAAAAAATCATGGAGCAATAACAGTAATCTTCCCACCCGGATACCCGATCTGAGAGAAAATTAGGTCTAATAATAACGATCCCAAATGGGTTAACAGGAGGCTAAATCATCTATTAGGGGAGAAAGGGAATTTATAGGCGCATCAGAAGAGGAGAGGTTAACCTTACTGACCATATTGTTCAGCTTAAAAGGAAGTAAAAAGGCGATTAGAAAGGCTAAACGTGACTATGAAATTAGAGTTGCTAATGAATCAAGACTAATCCAAAGGGGTTCTTTCAAGTGTATAGGACGAAGGTGAAGGAAAAAGTAGGACCCGAAATCTGGGAATGGACCTGACGGATAATGAACTGGAAATGTGTTCCTTATTTAATGATATTTTTTGTCAGTTTTACACAGGAAGATGTAAATGAGATTCCAGTAATTAACAATTATTTAGTTCCTGATGAATTTAAAGTTAACTAATATTACTGTACGAGGGACATGGTTATTAAACAGATAGACAAACTGAACAAAAATAGTCCCGGACCCGATGAGTTGTTTTCAAGGGTACTTAAGGAATGCAAGATGGAGCTTAGTCAGCCATTAACGAGTGTATTCAATGCGTCCATCCTTACCAGTGTTGTGCCAGAGTTGTGGAAGATGGCTAATGTGGTTCCTATATTCAAATCAGGGGATAAGTCCACTCCTTCAAATTACCGTCCAATAAGCCTGACATCTATAGTGGGCAAGTTATTAGAATCAATTATAGCTGACATTATCAGAAGTCACCTTGATAAGCATAACTTGATAAATGAATCTCAGCATGGATTCACGAGAGGTCGTTCCTGCCTGACAAACTTACTGACGTCTTCAATAGAACATTTGAGGCAGTTGACAGTGATAAGGAATATGATATTGTTTATTTGGATTTTAGTAAAGCCTTCGACAGAGTACTCACAAGAGACTCTTAAGAAAAAGTGGCAGCTCATGGTATAGGAGGTAAAGTTCTAGCATGGATTGAGGCATGGCTTACCAATAGAAAGCAGAGAGTTGCCATTAATGGAGTGAAATCTGAATGGGGATTAGTCACTAGTGGCGTTCCACAAGGATCAGTTTTAGGCCCTCTCCTGTTCATAATTTACATTAATGACCTTGATGAAGGATTACTAGTGACATGAGTAAGTTTGCTGAAGATACAAAGATAGGCGTATAATTCACTCTGAGGAGGATTCAATGAACTCCAGGACGATTTGAACAAATTAATGTCTTGGTCTGAAAAATGGCAGATGAAGTTTAATGTGGATAAGTGTAAGGTACTTGCCCTTGGTAATGAAAATAACCCTCGAAGCTATAATCTAGGTGAAGTAGAGCTTGGTCATACAGAATGTGAAAAAGACTTGGGAGTCATGGTAAGCAGAAATCTAAAGCCAAGACAGCAGTGCCTAGTGTGCGCAACAAGGCAACAGATTACTTGGATTTATCTCAAGAAGTATAAGTAACAGAAGTCCAAAATTTATTTTACAGCTCTATACATCACTAGTGAGGCCTCATTTAGATTATGCTGCTCAGTTTTGGTCCCCTTACTACAGGATGGACATAGACTCATTAGAGAACATACAGAGAAGAATGACTAAATGATTTACTGTGTAAGGAACCTCCGTATGAAGATAGACTTAAAGCCTTAAATCTCCACTCTCTGGAGAGGCGTAGAATGAGGGGAGATATCATTGAAGTGTATAAGTGGATGACGGGCATAAACAAGGGAGACATTAATAAAGTACTGAGGGTGTCGAACCAGGTAAGAACCAGGAATAATGGATTTAAGTTGGATAAATTTAGATTTAGGAAGGACATAGGTAAGTACTGGTTTTCTAACAGAGTTGTAGATGCGTGGAACAGTCTTCCCAGTGGGGTGATAGAGGCTAGGACCTTGGGTAGCTTTAAGAAGAGATGGACAAATATATGAGTGGGAGGGGCTGGGTTTGATTGGTGTCAAGGGGTACGGGAGTTATTTCTTGAGTAGCTTTAGGTAGATGTCGTTTTGATAAGGACCTGCCTCGTATGGGCCAGTAGGCCTTCTGCAGTGTTCCTACTTTCTTATGTTCTTATGTTCTTATAGAAGGGGCAGGGGGGGAGGTGGGGTTGCTCTGCTCGTAAAAAACAGATGGAAATTCGAGAAAATGGAAGGAATAGATGAGACGGGAGAAAGAGACTACATAGCAGGTACACTTCAGTCTGGGGAACACAAAGTGGTCATTGCAGTGATGTATAATCCACCACAGAACTGCAGGAGGCCAAGAGAGGAATATGAAGAGAGCAACAGAGCAATGGTGGACACACTTGCTGAGGTGGCAAGAAGAGCTCACTCCAGCAGAGCAAAGTTGCTGGTTATGGGGGATTTCAACCACAGGGAGATTGACTGGGAAAACCTGGAGCCACATGGAGAGCCAGGATGTTGGACGTGGTGCTGGAAAACCTCATGCACCAACATGTTAAGGACACTACCAGAGTGAGAGGGGAGGATGTACCAGGAAGATTGGACCTTGTGTTCACCCTGGGCAGCTCAGATATTGAGGACATCAAGTATGAGAGTCCCCTAGGAGCTAGCGACCACGTGGTACTGTGCTTTGAATACATAGTAGAGCTGCAAGTGGAGAGAATAACAGGAGTGAATGGGAAAGCCTGACTATAAAAGAGGGGACTACATAGGATTGAAGAACTTCCTGCAGGAGGTCCAGTGGGACAGAGAACTGGCAGGAAAGCCAGTAAATGAAATGATGGAATATGTAACAACAAAATGCAAGGAGGCAGTGGAAAGGTTTATTCCAAGGGCAACAGTAACAACGGGAAGACCAGAACGAGCCCTGATTTACCCGACGGTGTAAGGAGGCAAAAACAAAATGCAATAGAGAATGGAAAAAGTACAGAAGGCAGAGAACACACGAAATAGGGAGATCAGTCGCAGAGCCAGGAATGAGTACGCACAGGTAAGGAGGGAGGCCAGCGACAGTATGAAAATGACATAGCATCGAGAATCAAGACTGACCCGAAACTGTTGTATAGCCACATCAGGAGGAAGACAACAGTCAAAGACCAGGTGATCAGATTAAGGACAGAAGGTGGAGAACTCACAAGAAATGATCAGGAGGTATGTGAGGAGCTGAACAGGAGATTTAGAAGTTTTTACAGTAGAGACAGGAAGGGCTGTGGGAAGACAGCACAGAAGGGAACATCAAGAGGGAATATACAACAAGTGTTGGATGACATACGAACAACAAGGAGGAGGTGAAGGAAGCTCTTAAGTGACCTTGACACCTCAAAGGCGAGGGGACCGGACAACATCTCCCAGGGGCCCTTAGAGAAGGAGCAGAGATGCTGTGCTCCTCTAACCAAAATCTTCAACACATCCCTTGAAAGGGGCAACATGAGAAATGGAAGACAGAAATATAGTCCCCATATTTAAGAAAGGAAACAGAAACGAGGCACAAAACTAAGCCTGGTCTTGACATGTTTGTGTGCAAAGTAGGGAAGTTTATCAGGAGGGGTGGTGGGAACACCTGGAAAGGAACAAGATTAAAAAATGAAAACCAGCATGGGTTTTCATGGGGGGCAAATCTTGTATAAAAAAACCCTCCTGGAGTTTTATGACAAGGTAACAGAAGAAAGACGCGAGAGAAGGGGTGGGTAGATTGCGTTTCCTAGACTGCGGGAAAGCCCTTTGCACATTTCCCCCACAAAAATTTGTGAAAGTGGAGGATCGGGCGCATTTAAAAGGGGGGGCACTGCAATGGATAAGGGAATACCTGAAGGGGGGCAGCAACGAGTCATAGTACGTGAAGAGGTATCACGTGGGCGTGTTCGAGCGGGGGGGCCCAAGGGGCAGTTCTAGGCCAGTGCTATTTTGATATATTGAACGACATGATGGAAGGAATAGAGGGGTTGAGGGGGGGGTTGGGAAAATTTTGGGGGTGGGGGGACTCGAGGCCTGGCCCGGCGGAATGTGGTCCACAACGGCTTCCAATTTACCGCCCCTCCCCAAAGTCATTTTTTTGATTGGGGGGGGGAAAAAAGATCGCAGGTATAGGCTAGGACTAGTGGACAAAGACACAGACCTCACTCAGGGGGAAAACTTGGGGGACCATAAAAACCCGAGCACATCACCGGAGGGACACATCAACCAAATAACCGCCCCCGCAGCTACGGGGCCTGGCAAACCTGAAATAGCGTTCCGATACCTTTAAAAAGGAATCCAGACACTGTACACTGTGTATGTTTGGGCCCCTATGGAGTATGCGCACCGTTGGGAAACCCCCACCCCGGTCAAGCACGTCAAGAAGTTAGAGAAAGTACAAGGTTTTTCAACAAGGTTCCCAATCCAAGGGAATGTCGTACGAGGAAAGGTTTAAAGGGGAAAACGGACGACAACTGGGGGGACAGAAGGGCAGGGGACATGATACGACATCAAATACTGCGGGGGGTAGCAAGGTGGGCAGTGATGGATGTTTTCCCGAGAGGGGAACAGGGACAAGGGGTCCAATGGAAGCTGACACTCAGAGAGTCACAGGGACGTTTTGGAAGTATTTCTTCAGTCATAGAGTTGTCAGCAAGTGGAATAGCCTAGCAAGTGAAGTAGTGGAGGCAGGAACCATACATAGTTTTAAGAAGAGGTGTGACAAAGCTCAGGAAGCAGAGAGAGAGAGGATTCAGTAGCGATCAGTGAAGAGGCGGGGCCAGGAGCTGAGTCTCGACCCCTGCAACCACAATTAGGTGAGTACAATTAGGTGAGTACACACACACACACACAGTCACAGGGATGTTAGGAAGTATTTCTTCAGTCACAGAGTCGTCAGGAAGTTAAATAATCTGGAGAGTGATATAATGGAGGCAGGATCCATACATAGCTTTAAGTAGAGGTATGATAAAGCTCATGGAGCAGGGAGAAAGAGAACTTAGTAGCGACCAGTGAAGAGGCGGGGCCAGGAGTTATGAATCGATACACATATATAAACAGGTTAACGCTCTTTTAGCATATAACAGGTTAAGATCTGTTAGGTTAGGCTAGTGTTAGGTTAGGTTAGGTTAGTGTTAGGTGAGGTTATGTTAGGTTACGTTAGGTTACGTTAGGTTAGCGTAGGTTAGGTTAGGTTAGGTTAGGTTAGGTTAGGTTAGGTGAGGTTATGTTAGGTTACGTTAGGTTACGTTAGGTTAGCGTAGGTTAGGTGAGGTTGGGTTAGGTTAGGTGAGGTTAGGTTAGGTTAGGTTAGGTTAGGTTAGGTTAGGTTAGGTTAGGTTAGGTTAAGTTAGGTGAGGTTAGGTTAGGTTAGGTGAGGTTAGGTTAGGTTAGGTTAGGTTAGGTTAGGTTAGGTTAGGTTAGGTTAGGTGAGGATAGGTTAGGTTAGGTTAGGTTAGGTTAGGTTAGGTTAGGTTAGGTTAGGTGAGGATAGGTTAGGTTAGGTTAGGTCATCTGACCGAGGCCTTCAACTGGCTTACCACTCCATTACTTTAAAAAATATGGTTATAGCTACTTGGTTTCAAGCCTGTCGACTACACAGTATCATTGAAAAGGGATTATTAATATAAACTCTTAGTGTAAATATACTGGCTCACATTCATTGCTGATTTTGGTGTGTATATACATGTATATACATGTATATACATGTATATACATGTATATACATGTATGCATGAAGATAGATACATTTTAGGAAGGTGAATTTCTAAGCGCGTTCGAAAGAGTTAATTCTTGGTCCCTCTCTCCCTTGGTAGCTGACTTGGCAGTGTCCGGAAGTGTTTGATCGGCCGTGGCTTGGGTTGTTCGGTCAGTTCCTCCTCTGGTTGGGTACCCAACACAATACCTTCGTCAGATTTCTGTGAGTACTTACCTGTGATTTGATGTTTTGTTATCACTGTAACCTATTTGTACTCGCCTATTTCTGGTTATAGGAGTCTATTTACAGCTCCTGGCCCCACTTCACTGGTCGCTACTAGGTCCACTCTATCCCTGCTGAAAGAACTTTATCGTATATCTTCTTAAAACTATGTATGGATTCTGGGTGTGTGAGAGAGAGAGAGAAAGAGAGAGGATAGAGTGTAACCTATCAATGAGCTGAGATAGAACAACTGTTCTTAGCTTGTAAGTGAACAGGCGGGAGAGATACATGATTATATACACCTGGAAAATCCTAGAGGGACTAGTACCGAACTTGCACACGAAAATCACTTACTACGAAAGCAAAAGACTTGGCAGACGATGCAACATCCCCCCAATGAAAAGCAGGGGTGTCACTAGCACGTTAAGAGACCATACAATAAGTGTCAGGGGCCCGAGACTGTTCAACTGCCTCCCAGCATACATAAGGGGGATTACCAACAGACCCCTGGCAGTCTTCAAGCTGGCACTGGACAAGCACCTAAACGGTTCCTGCCCCGCCGGGGCTGGGGTCGTACGTTGGTTTTGCGTGCCCAGCAGAAACAGCCGGGTTTGATCGGCTCTGATCCACCGGGGGCCTGGTCACAACCGGGCCGCGGGGCGTTGACCCCCGGAACTTTCTCCAGGTAAACTCCAGGGAACTAGGAAAGGGGACAAGACTGAAAATTGAACGATTTAAATTTCACAGCTTCTCCAAAAAAAAACTAGAAAAGCTGATACAGCGATTGTAAAAAAGGTTGAGGCTCGACCTTTCGCATGTAGGAGCTCCCAAAAACCCGCTCTTCAACACGCAATTTTATACTTTGTATCAACAAATCCATTTTACTCTAGATTTTTCAAGAGATCCTTAGTTCAGCCCAAATCACCGCTAGATGTTTTAAAAAAGGGGCCCACTGATCAGATCAGATCGACGGGCCCGAACCCTCGAGGGCCAACCCTCAGGGTCCAAACCCTTGATGGTCCGAACCCTTTTGACGGTTTCAAACGGATTCGTTGGACAATAAAGCAGACTGTAAAGGTGGGGTTGTAGGCGCCCTTATCAACCAAACAATAAATAAAATCAGGAACTACAGGGAAGCTTTCCAATATACAAGTACGTTGAAATAGAAATACAAAACTAGGCTTTATTTTGGGGGTTATTAAAGAGTATTCAAGAGGGTTTCTAGTAGAATTACAGTAAATAACCCTTTAAATCATTATGAGCTTGTATAGTCTGCATCAATCAACAAAAGGGCTTCCCCAGGAAAATTGTCTTTTGTGGAAATTGGGGTTCACGCCCCCTTTTGGGAGATATCCAACATTTAAAACAGGAAGTGTTTTTGGGGGATGCCCAAATGAGAAAATCGTGGGGTAAAATCACAAGGGTTTAAAAAGGATAACATCAAAGCTCTTTCATAGACAGCCTGGAAGCTTTCTACAACAGATGGGAACATAAAAAGTCTGAGTGAATGGTACGCCCCTTTATACGGCCATTAGTCAGAAAAAGTAAGGGTGGAGGGGATGTCATGGTAGTCAGTAAATGTGGGGCTTATGCTGCCTGGGAGTAGTAATGGTGAACCGGAGGTGCTGTCCGGGAGAAGTAATGGTGAAACTGGAGGGCTGTCCTGGGAGACATAATGGGGAAGCTGGAGGTGCTGTCCTGGGAGACAGTAAAGGGGGAACTGGAGGTGCTGTCCCGGGGACGTAATGGTGAAGCTGGGTGCGTCCTGGGAGACAGTAATGGGGGGAAGCTGGAGGTGCTGTCCCCGGGGGAAAAGTAATGGGAAGCTGGGATTTTGTTCAGGATCGGGAATTATAATAGGAAGGAATACATAAAATGACCTCATGGGGACAGGAGCCGTAGTGGGGGGAAAAAGTTAGTCAAAGAAAATAAAACCAATATTGCAAAATGAAATACCAAGGGAAAAACAAACAAAGACTCCACTAGCAATGTGAGGTATATTCCCAAAAAAACAACTGGTGGGGGGCCCATTTTTGGGTGCTAGGGGATGGGAAAAAAGACGGGGAAAATACACCAACAGGGAATACGGGTCAAAAGAAAACCAAGGAAAGGGGAAACCAACCCTGTGCACATACTATGCACTTGGAAATCTGCAGCAGGGGAAATCTGGAAAAACAGACGGGACTTTGCAACTATGACCCCCCCTAGAAAATGCCAGGGCCCATATGCAACGGGAAAAAAATGCAAACCCCCTTTCCCTGTAAGCTTTTTCACCCTAAAAATTGTCCCTTTCTTCGTCCCAGAAAAAACTGTTTATAATTTTTAAACTGCCAGGCCCCCATCATCTAAAGGGTCCCAAAAAGATCAAAACTCCAGGCCTTTGGGAAAAAACCGGGGTAGCCACACCCACTCAAGGGGGAGAGGTTTTTTTTATTTGCCGGGAAAAGAAAAAAAACGGGGCAGGAAAGGGCAGAAATCGAAACACCAAACCCAGTCTTCCGGGAGGGGAACCACGTGATGGCCCCACCCCAAAAAACCAACAGATACAGATACAAATTTCCCGGAAAAAAAAAATCCCCCCCCCAGTACCAACAATCCCAACAAGTCCGTTTGACATTCTTTTTTTCAAATATACAGGGTCTAAAGCCAGCAACAAAAAAACAAAATTCCCTTTTCATCCGGGGAAATGCTTGCAGAGGCAAAGGCAATGTTCGCGGCTTTCCCGGGAGACCCAATAAAGATCACTTAGCCCAAAAAAATATGAACCCCGGGTTTGGGCCTGTACTTTCCCGATCCCCTTGTTTGCACAGAACTGCTAAATCCCCTAAAATGTGTAGTGGAATTTTTTTAGTGGGTAAAGGCGAGAAAAAAAAACCTAGTCATTGGGGGGTAGTCTACAAAGCTTTTTGGTTTGCAACATCCCAGCAATTCCGGGAACAGCTGTTAAAAAATTGACCACTTTTCGGGAAAAATTTTCCCAGCTCTGCCCCCAAAACATCTTGTCCTGGGGGATTTAAAATTTTAAAACACCTAAAAGGGGAATTTTAGAAAAAAAAATTTTTTAAATTGCAGTAATAACCCCCCAGGAGGCAGCGGGGGTAAAAAACCCAGGGCCACACGAGTTTTAAAAAAATCTGCACAAAATTAAATTTTAAAAACCAAAGCAAAAAAATAGAGCCTACTAGACTGGAAAAATACACTAGACCTAAATCTTCATAACAATGATATCTGATAAGAAATGTCACCATTTTCAAAAACAAAAATACTCAGATCACAAAAATAAAATGAGGTTCAGACATGTATTTCGTGGAAACCCCCAAACCGGGGCAAATGAGCTAGTCACGGGGGGGAAACATTCACCCAAAAATTTAAAATTCAATAACAAAAACTAAAGTGGGGCCAAGTAAAAAAGTCTTTTAAACCCATATAAGCTTGGGGGATATATAAGCAACACAGATCCCCAAATTTTGCCTAGAAAAATTTAAATTGGGGGGCAAATCGTGTATGCACAAGGGGTTTTCCTCTTAAGGGGAAAAAAAAGGGGGATAGATGTAAAATAGAAAGGGAAAAAGGGGCTCCCCCTTTTCAGGCGACGGAAAAGAAAAACAGAGCCCGGGTAAAAGACTTCAATATATTGAAATGCGTAGGGAGGGCACTGGTCAGAGAAATAAGGGAAGAAACGAACTTTTAAACAAAAAGGGAAACTTATAGGAGTCAGGAATCGCGGGAAGAACTAAAAGGGCCCTAAATGAAATTTGAAAGGGAAAAACCCCAAAATATTTCTTTTCCTATGCCCAAAACAAAGTCGAGAACAACGTCCAGTAAATTTGGGCCCCCACTTAAACAAGATGGGTCCCCACAGATGACAGCAAAAGGAAAAAAGGGGTGAGCTTTCTCAAATCCCCAAAATGACTCAAATTTTTTTGCCAAAACCCCCCTAACCAGGGTGGGGGAGTCGAAAAATCAAAATGAAAATTTTTTTTTGGGGAGAGGGCCCCAAAATTTGGTTAACACAAAACCTATCCGATGTTTTCCTGACGCCAAATGACTTCGAACAGGCGATAAATGAAATTTCCCATGCACTTGCCCCAGGGGCCCAAATCATGGAACTCCTGTTCATAAAAAACTGCAAGAAGCCCCTATCACGAGCCCTTTTCCCCTCCTATGGAGAGAGAGCATGGGGCACGGGGGGTCGTCCCCCCAGTTCTAAAAACAACAGACATAGCCCCTCCACAAAGGGGGCAATAAAGCAACAGCAAAGAACTACGACCGATAGCAAATAACAAACCCATATCATAAAAAACCCTTTTAAAGGGTTCCCAAAAAGCAAGATCACCACCCATCTAGAAAACCCCTCAGTTACACAACCCCGGGGGAACATGGGTTTAGAACAGGGCGCTCCTGTCTTCTCAACTATTGGGGTAAAAAAAGACAAAGGGCCTAAAAAGTACTTGAAGATAAAAAGAATGCAGATGTAATATATACAGGGCTTTTCAAAAACCTTCGACAAGTGTACCATGGCGTAATAGCGAAAAAAAAGCGTGCTAAAGGAAAACAGGAAAAAATCGGTCGATGGATCTATAATTTTCCCAATAAAAGAACACAGAGAGAGTCGTTTAACAAAAGTAAAGTCCGAGGCAGCTACGGTGAAAAATTCTGTTTCCACAAGGCACAGTACTCGCTCCAAACTTTTTCCTCAAACCCAAAATCCGACATAGCAAAAGGGTGTTTAGCCACAGCACCGGGGTCTTCCTTTGCAGAGGGAAACCCCAAACTGCATGAAGGTTTTCCCCTTTTCAGACGCTGCCCCAAAGGGTCCAGGCGGACATCAAACCCAAACTTTCAGTGGGCTGCAGAAAACAATATGAAGTTCAACGATTTAGAATTTCAATTTCTCCGATAGAGCGAAACACCAACTCAAAAGACTGGGAGTGATCATGTCCGGGGGGGTCTAAACCTTTTAAGGACCCCTAACAAATTTTATCAAACGCATCCCGCCCAGAAAAATGACAGGATGGATAATTTAGAACCTTCAAAAAAAGGGAGGCCAAGCCCCCTGATGGAAAACTTTTTCAGGCACTTGTCCCTATCTAGGCTGGAATATTGCTGCACACTAACAGCACCCCTTTTAAGCAGGTGAAATTGTGACCCAAAAATGAAAGAGAACCTTAAAGGGCCCCATAATGGAGAAAAACACCTCAATTAAATGGGGGCGCTTGAAGGGTTCCCTAAACTGTATTCCCCGGAACACAAAGGGGGGAGAGGGTACATGATTATATACACCTGGGGAAAAAACCAGAGGGAAATAGTACCGAACTTGCCACGAAAAAAACACTTTACTACGAAAAACAAAAGACTTGGCAGAAAGATGCAACATCCCCCCCTGAAAAGCAGGGGGGTCACAAACCGGGGTTTAAAAGGGCCCCACAATAAGGGGTCAGGGGGGCCCAGGGGCTGTTCAACTGCCTCCCAGCATACAAAAAGGGGGGTTTACCAACAGACCCCTGGGGAGTTTTTCAAGCTGGCACTGGACAAGCCCTAAAGTCGGGTTTCCCGACCAGCCGGGCTGTTCCCCCGTAAGTTTGGGTTTTCGTGAGCCAGAAAAACAACAGCCTGGTTGATCAGGCTCTGATCCACCAGGAGGCCTGGTCACAGACCGGGACGCGGGGGCGTTGACCCCCGGAACTCTCTCCAGGTGAATTCCAGGTAATTCATTGCGATTGAAACCGTAATAAATGTAAACAGCTCATTATCACTGTAACTTGTTCATTACCACTGTAATTTGTTCATTACCACTGTAACTTGTTCATTACCACTGTAATTTGTTCATTACCACTGTAACTTGTTCATTACCACTGTGTAAAGGACCTGCCTAGTATGGGCCAACAGGCCTGCTGCAGTGTTCCTCCTTGCTTATGTTCTTATGTAACTTGTCCAGCTATCAAAACATTCGGGTCCAGTCCCTGGACTCGTTATGTACCTCTGTAATCTTTTGACTACCGCCCACAGGATGGGTATGAGGTGCATAATCAACATGTTAGACTTAAACTAACTCCCCCACACCTGCAGGTTCGTGCCAGTGATGGTGATCCACGTGTTGGAGGTGATGTATGCAGCTTACCTGTGTTGTGTCAGCCTTCATCTCCACCCCTCCACCACTCTCCGCTGGCTCCTACAGATCCTGGTAGTGGGCATCCTGTCCCTCAGCTTCCTCATCTGGCCTCATAGAGATACCCACACCACCAATAGGGTTCTCAGAGATACTCACGACATCACCACCATGGGTACCAAAAGAGAATAAAGAACGATATGTGGGCATCCTCTCTCTCTCTCTCACAACACCACTCACAACAACACTGCCTTCAAGAGAGAGCTGGACAGATACCTAAAGTCAGTGCCGGATCAGCCGGGCTGTGGCTCGTACGTTGGACTGCGTGCGGACAGCAGTAACAGCCTGGTTGATCAGGCCCTGATCCATCGGGAGGCCTGGTCATGGACCGGGCCGCGAGGGCGTTGATCCTCGGAATAACCTCCAGGTAACCAGGGTACTCACAGATACCCACAACATCACCAGGTACTCACAGATACCCACAACACCACCAGGGTACTCACAGATACCCACAACATCACCAGGTACTCACAGATACCCACAACACCACCAGGGTACTCACAGATACCCACAATACCTCCAGGGCACTCACAGATACTCACAACACCACCAGGGTACTCACAGATACCCACAATACCACCAGGGTACTCACAGATACCTACAACACCACCAGGATACTCACAAATACCCACAATACCTCCAGGGTACTCACAGATACTCACAACACCACGAGGGTACTCACAGATACCCACAACACCACCAGGGTACTCACAGATACCCACAACACCACCAGGGTACTCACAGATACCCACAACACCACCAGTGTACTCACAGATACTCACAGCTCCACAAGGAATAACAAAACAGAATAGGGGACGATGTGTGAGCATCCTGTTTCTTAGTGACCTGATGTGCCTTTAGTCAAGTCGATCATGGCATCTCCCAAACGAGGTAACTAGGCGAAAATCCTGCAGGTCCTGCTGCACAAACTGGCCGCTAGAAGGTTGAACCCGATACAACGAGGACATCTTGATAATAATAATAATAATAATAATAATAATAATAATAATAATAATAATAATAATAATAATAATAATAATAATAATAATAATAATAATAATCTTTATTATGATACAACTTATACAGACTATAGCTGACACCAATCACATACTATATAGAAAGTTCCTGGTTATGTAGAGCATTTCCCGCAACTTAGATTAATTTTGTCCCCCAGGATGCTACCCACACTAAAATGGAGGAATATGGCAAATAATATTGTTGCAGTAATAACACCAGGAGGCAGCTCTGATGAAAACTCACACTCACACGAGCTTTTAAATCTCTGCACAAAATTCAATTTAAACCAGCAAATAATAGAGCCTACTAGACTGGAGAATACACTAGACCTCATCTTCACTAACAATGATGATCTGATAAGAAATGTCACCATATCAAAAACAATATACTCAGATCACAACATAATTGAGGTTCAGACATGTATGCGTGGAGCCCCAAACCGACATAATGAGACTAGTCACGAGGGAGCATTCACAAAAAAAGGAGGAGTAGATGTAAAATAGAAAGAGACAGGCGCTCCCTTTACAGGTGACGGAAAAGAATAACAGAGCGGCTAAAAGAGGTCAATATATCTGAAATGCGTAGGGAGACACTGGTCAGAGAAATAGCAAGCATCGAACTTAAGCTAAAGGAATCTTATAGGAGTCAGGAATCGCGGGAAGAACTAAAAGCCATAAATGAAATCGAAAGAAACCCAGAGTATTTCTTCTCCTATGCCAAATCAAAGTCGAGAACAACGTCCAGTATTGGGCCCCTACTTAAACAAGATGGGTCCTACACAGATGACAGCAAGGGAATGAGTGAGCTACTCAAGTCCCAATATGACTCAAAATGAATTTTTTATGAGAGAGCCAGAGAATTTGGTTAACACAAGCCTATCCGATGTTATCCTGACGCCAAATGACTTCGAACAGGCGATAAATGACATGCCCATGCACTCTTCCCCAGGGCCAGACTCATGGAACTCCGTGTTCATCAAGAACTGCAAGAAGCCCTTATCACGAGCCTTTTCCATCCTATGGAGAGGGAGCATGGACACGGGGGTCGTCCCACAGTTACTAAAAACAACAGACATAGCCCCACTCCACAAAGGGGGCAGTAAAGCAACAGCAAAGAACTACAGACCGATAGCACTAACATCCCATATCAAAAAAAAATTTTTGAAAGGGCCCAAAAAAGATACCACCCACTAGAAACCCATCAGTTACAAACCCGGGCAACGGGGGTTTAGAACAGGTCCCCCCTGTCGGTCTCAACTTTTGGATCACACGCAAGGCCAATGCACTAGAAACAAAAAGAATACAGAGAAATATATACAAATTTGAAAAAACCCTTCGACGGGGGGGACCATGACGTAATAGCGCAAAAAATGCGTTAAAGGATAACAGAAAAGCGGTCGAGGGATCTATAATTTCCTCAAAACGAACCAGAGGTAGTCGAAACAATATAGCCCGGGGGGAGCTACGGGAAAAGCTCTGTTCCACAAGGCACAGTACTCGCCCCCATCTTTTCCTCATCCCATTCCGACATAGACAAGGTTTTTCCCCAAGCACCTGTCTTCCTTTGCAGTTTGACACCCGAATCTGCATGACAGTGTCTTCCTTGCAGACACGCAAGGCTCCAGGGGGACTAAAACCAAATCTTTCAGTGGGCTGCAAAAAAACAATATGCGTTCAACGATGAAAAATTTATTACTCAGTATGGAAAACCCGAGGAAATTAAATCTTCATCAAGTACAAAACAAATTCTGGCCACAAAATGGCGAAAACCAACGTCAAAGCCGGGGAGTGATCATGTCGGAGGTCTCCCCTTAAAGGGCCATAACATTGATCAATCGCATTGCTAAAAAAATACGGGATGGATTGAAACCTTCAAATAGGGGGGGGGGCCAACCCCTGAGACACTCCAGGTCATTGTTCTATCTGGCGGGAAATATTGCACAACTAACAGCCCTTTTAAGCAGGTGAAATTGCTGACCTAAAAAATGTCGAAAAACCTTTCACGGCCGATAAGGGAGATAAAACCCCTCAATTACGGGGACGTTTGAGGTTCCTAAACTGTATTCCCTGGAACGCAGGCGGGAAGATCATGTTTATATACACCTGGAAAACCTAAGGGACTAGTCCCGAACTTGCACCAAACCGAAAATCACTCCCAAAGAAAGCAAAAGCCCTTGGCAGACATGCAACACCCCCCCAATGAAAAGCAGGGGGTACTACACTTTAAAGACCATACAATAAGTTCGGGGCCCGAGACTGTTCAATGCCTCCCAGATACATAAGGGGGATTCCCAACAGCCCCCTGGATTTTCAAGCTGGCATGGACAAGCACCTAAAGCGGTTCTGACCACCGCTGGGCCCTTTTACGTGGTTTTTCGTGCACCAGCATAAAAAGCCTGGTTATCGGCCTGACCACCGGAGGCCTGGCATAAAACCGAGCCGCGGGGGGGGTTTACCCCCGGAACCTCTCCAGGTAAACTCCAGGGGAAACACCTGCGGCTAACACTCAGGTGGACGCAGGTCAAAGGACTAACCCCAGGGACCTACTTCCCCGCTAGGGGGCCCGGGGGCCTGATGGCAAAGCTCCCGCCCACACAGGAGGGCCCGGGGTTCGATTTTCCCGGGGGTTGGAAACTTCGAACGTTTTCCTTACCTGTTTCCTGTTCACCTAGGCCAAAAAGGTACCTGGTGTTTTTGTCGCTGGGGGGGGTCCATCCTGGGGGGCAAGATTTAAAGGGCCCCCCAAAGGAAAAAATTAACTGTCCTCGATGACGCACTGACTTTCTTGGGTTATCCTGGGTGGCTAACCCTCCGGGGTTAAAAATCCGAACGAAATCTTATCTTATCTTAACAGGGACAGCATGTGTCTTAAGGAAACTGTTCACCAAGCAGTAAGTAGGTGCCTGGGTGTTAGTCACCTTACACCAGCTGCCCCTGTTCACCTAGCAGTAAATAGGTACCTGGATGTTAGTCGACTGGTGTGGGTGGCATCCTGGGGGAAAAATTAACCTAAGTTGCGGGAAATGTTCTACATTTCCCGCATGTCACTGATGTCAGCTATGGTCTGTATAAGTTTTATTATGTACGTGTAGAAATGAAGATTATTATTAGGCAGGGGTCCCAGCTTATACACGTAGGGACTGAGGTTCGATCCTCGGAAGAGCGAAAACGTAGTACATAATCCATAACACCTGCTGCCCCAAAATGGAAATAAGTCAGTCCCCGATGACAGTGGCTTTACTGGCTTAGCCTGATCAACAGCCTGGTTGATCAGGCCTTGATCCACCACAAAGCCTGGACGCAGACCGGGCCGCGGGGGCGTTGACCCCCGAAACCCTCTCCAGGTGTACTCCAGGTAATTGACCCGTCGAATTAATAATCCCAACAAAATCAATTTACTAACTGCCCGAAATCCACAACATGTTAATGGCTGTCTTTTATACTTAACAATATTTTATCACTTGTAAACAACATCTTGTGTACTGCTGAAAAGAAATAAAGTTGTATAACTCCATATTTAATGTCCATTGAGAAGAGCTTCGTTTTGGTGTGGTTAGATTAGATTTAGATTTTGTCACCGAAGTGGCTAGTTTATTGTGCACCCCATATCCATCCTGTGGACGATAGCGCGAGAGCATATGGATACACAAAAGGCCTAGGAACTAGGCCCCAAAGGGTTAATAGGAATACATATGGATTTATATCTACATATCTATAGTTCACTTATCTGTTACAAGCAAATTTAGGAAATTTGCTTAGTATATCTGGTATCTTATTTTCATTAATAAAATATCTTGACATGTCACATAGGTTATTATACTGTCTGTCTCTGTATTCCTCAATAAGTGGACAATTAAGCACATAGTGTTCAAGACAGTGACCATATGCCTGATCACATAATTTACATTTAGTTTGATCATCATCTGTGTGTCTCCCAAACTGCCAGAAGTACTTGTAACCAAGCCTAAGCCTGGCCACTACAACATCATTCAGTACTTGTAACCAAGCCTAAGCCTGGCCACTACAACATCAGTCAGTAAGATAAGATAAGATTTCGTTCGGATTTTTAACCCCGGAGGGTTAGCCACCCAGGATAACCCAAGAAAGTCAGTGCGTCATCGAGGACTGTCTAACTTATTTCCATTGGGGTCCTCAATCTTGTAACCAAGCCAAGCCTGGCCACTACAACATCAGTCAGTACTTGTAACCAAGCCTAAGCCTGGCCACTACAACATCAGTCAGTACTTGTAACCAAGCCTAAGCCTGGCCACTACAACATCAGTCAGTACTTGTAACCAAGCCTAAGCCTGGCCACTACAACATCAGTCAGTACTTGTAACCAAGCCTAAGTCTGGCCACTACAACATCAGTCAGTACCTGTAACCAAGCCTAAGCCTGGCCACTACAACATCAGTCAGTACTTGTAACCAAGCTTAAGCCTGGCCACTACAACATCAGTCAGTCTGTTCACATTGCAAGTTGCTCCATAAACATACTTATCTACGTTCATGTTATCATAGTGGGTTATAGATCTACTCAGGCTTCTAACTGCATTCCTATAACAATCATTTTCATTATTTACTTCTCTCCTAATATTATTCCTAATGCTAGACACAGTTATACCAAAGTTATATTCTACATTCTCCTTCTCGATACTCTTCTTGGCTAACATATCAACTTTATCATGAAGGAGTAATCCATGGGATCCATGGTGTGGTTATCCCTTTAAAATTTACGTTTTCTTTAAGCTAATGTGTTGCTAGATGGTAGACTATGTTGTATTGCGAGATGGTAGACTATGTTAATGTGTTGCGAAATGGTACCTACTTAGTGTTAGGTGAACAAGTAAGTTTATTCAGGTATACACAAATACAGTTACATAGATTATCATATATTATCAAACAAGGACAGCAGGTGTAAGGTGAGTAACACCCAGATACCTACGTACTTACTGCTAGATGAAAAGGGACAGCAGGTATAAAGTGACTAACGCCCAGGTACCTACTTACTGTTGGGTGAACAGGGACACCAGGTATAAGGTGACTAACGCCCAGGTACCTACTTACTGCTGGGTGAACAGGGACAGCAGGTATAAGGTGACTAACGCCCAGGTACCTACTTACTGCTGGGTGAACAGGGACAGCAGGTATATGGTGACTAACGCCCAGGTACCTACTTACTGCTGGGTGAACAGGGACAGCAGGTATAAGGTGACTAACGCCCAGGTACCTACTTACTGCTGGGTGAACAGGGACAGCAGGTGTAAGGTGGCTAACACCCAGATACCTACTTACTGCTGGGTGATCATGGACAGCCGGTGTAAGGTAACACACCCAACGTTTCCACCCGTGCCGGGTATTGAACCATAGACATCCAGTGCGTGAGGCAGTGTATGCACCGAACTATATACAGTACATCTCCTGGTTGGATAATGAGATTTAAACACTATCTACTTCACCTATCCAACTCAAGTTAGAGAATAATTTAATCCCCCAAAAATAGGTATTTACATAAACTATAATTATATTGCCAGGCACACAATCTAAAGGGGACAACAAGATACAAAACATCCAGACCATGGGAAAACCTGGGTAGCCACAGCCACTCAAGAGAGAGAGAGAGGTTTTTAGTGCCAGGAAAGAAAAAAAAACTGGCAGGAAATGGCAGAAATCGTACACCAAATCCAATCATTTCTGCAGTGGAATCACAGTCGATGGCATCAACTCCTAACCAACAGATACAGATATTAGTGCCGGAAAAAAAAGTCCCTCCCCAGTACCATCAACACCACCAATCCGATGACATTCTTCTTTGCAAATATACAGGGTCTAAAGCCAGCAAGGAACAACAAAATACCTTTCATCCGTGGACTGCTTGCAGAGGCAAATGCAATGTTCGCGGCTTTCACAGAGACCCACATAAAGGATCACTTGGACAACGAAATATGGATCCCAGGTTACAACCTATACAGATGCGACAGAGTGAACAGGCAAAAATGGGGGGATTGATTGGCCTGTATATCGCAGAGTCACTTATTTGCACAGAACTGCTAAATGCCTCAAATGATGAAGTTTTAGCAGTAAAGATCGAGAACCAAAATCTGGTCATTGTAGTAG